CCCCCCCCCCCCCCCCCCAGAATCAGAAAGCTGTATGGATCCGTTTTCCTCTCATGGGTCTTAAGATTAATCTTACCTGATGTGTAAATCTTTTTTTCTGTATGTAAAATAAATTTTGTTAATATTTGGCTTGACCACTTGTTTTCATCACTGATTTTCAGTTATGCTTAAATTGTATACGTTTGGAGTTAGGTGCACTTTAAGTGAAGAAAAAAATAAATCTTGGCTTTATCCATTTAAAATGTGTACGCTGTATAACGTTGCATAAGGGTACTTTAAAGTTTATAACAAATCATCAGCTCATGTGCCTTCAACTACTAATGAATAAGGTAATTTAGTCATGAACATATGATGAATATTATTATCTGGCCTCAAGTATAACAATTGCTAGATATTGCTCTTATTTGAAGTAAAATGTCTTGTGTACTGTTCATGGCTTAAAAGTTTGTTAGACAGGTAACGACATATTTTCAGTACATTTAAATTATACAATATTATGCGAAGTTGTAATTCAAATGTGTGGCACATATTTGTCCGCTTCATTTCCAAGTGTCCCAATGACCGTGCATGTGCTCGATCAGCCCTTCACTGCGGCTGTGCAATGATTTCTCTCTCTCACACCCCCAATCTCCATTTTTCCATTTATTTTTTTCTAAAAAAAAAAAAAAAAAAAAAAATCTAAACTTATACAGATATTTTAATAATAATAATTTTTGCTTATAATTTAAAATTGTTTAAATATTTGTACTGGTAAACAAGACAAATACAAGCAAGTAAGATTTATTTATTTATTTAAGTGCAATTGGAGTAGTTAATGGTATCCAAAGAATAAGTAGTACTAATATCTAATTAAGTTCTTATCTGAATCTATAGTAATCATCTTACTAATATCCAATTTTATTCCTCTAATATTTAATTTTAATCCTCTAATAATATCTAATAAGTGATATCATGAATAATTGCCAGTAAAAGTAGGTACTAGTCAGTTGCTAGGAGAAAAATAAAAATACATGGTAATAAGTTACCAGTGCGGTTTGAGGAATACATTTTAAAATGGCATGCGAGTAGTAATGTTCATTTGACATTAATCACTGTTTTGTTTCAATGGATTAATGCACTGTTCAAACTTCAAAGGGCCTCATTTGTGTTGAGGGTGAAGTGTCCTTGATCATGAATCCAAATGTCTTTAAAAAGTCCCAGGAGGAGCTCTCATAGTTGTATCGTGGCCCAGGCACCCCACTATGACTCCATTTTGGACCGGGAGTGAGAGATTTGAACTGTAGTGACAGACCAGCTGGCTATGCGCAGCACGTACGTGAGTCAGGGTTTGTGAGCAGCACTGGATCACTCAATGCCAGTGAGGTGATCCAGATCTCTAATATTGCCTGGAGGATTCATACAGTTGTTATTTTTTACTATGGTTGATGCTGGTTAGAGTTTGGACATCCAAATATTAGGGCTGTGCAATATATCGAAATTATCGAAATATCGCAAATGTACATATCGCAATATGCATATCGCTACAGCTTGCAATATTTGGGGCCATGAACAAAAGACAAAGAGAAAATCACTCACTGCTCTTACCTAAATAACTTTTGTAGCTTAAATAAGAATCAGTGCATATTGAATTCAAAGAGTAAATACTAAGCAGTGTTTTATTTTTGCTTTTTATTATTCAGTTCCTAAACTCATGTTAAAATGACATTTTTATGTAATGCTCGAGTAAAACACTACCGTTCACTTTCAGAAGTTGTTGTAGGCGTGCTTTCTTATTAGAATCAGAAACAGAATTAGCTTTATTCACCACATAAGTGTGCGCAAACCAGGAATTTGTTGTGGTTTTACAGGAACTCTTGGTACATACATACATACAAATAACCATATATATATGACACAAGATAGTTATAGAAGTTCACAGAACTGACTCAGCAACAGCTGAGTAAAACTGTTTCATCTGAGCATGTGGCACTTTCAGCATTATCGTATCGCATATCGCATTATTTAATGAGTTATCGCATATCGCATTTTTCTTCAATATCGCACAGCCCTACCAAATATGTAGAAGTGCTGTTTTCGTATCAGCTGTCTGTACTTATCTCAATCCCATCCTCATCGCAGGCCTCTGGTGTCACAGTCAGTGATGAAGTCATCAAAGTCTTCAATGACATGAAAGTACGGAAGTCCTCGTCCTCAGACGAGGTGAAAAAGCGCAAAAAGGCAGTGCTGTTCTGCCTCAGCGATGACAAGAAGAAGATCGTCGTAGAAGAGGGCAAGCATATCTTAGTCGGAGACATTGGAGACACTGTCGATGACCCCTACGCCTGCTTCGTGAAGCTCCTACCTCTCAACGACTGCAGATACGGCTTATACGATGCCACTTATGAAACTAAAGAGTCCAAGAAAGAAGACTTGGTATTCATATTTTGGTATGTAGTCTGACTGGCAAGATAATTATTAGGATTGCAAAGGGGCGTAAAATTTCTGGTAACTTTCCAAGATGTTTTGGAAATTTTCCGCCCCTTTGCAACCCTAATAATAACAGATACATTTTTTTTTTTTTATTGTATTTATTTATTTACTTATTTATGCATTTTTTATTATATGCATTTATTAATTTATTTATGCATTTATTTATGCATTTTATTGGAATTTTGATTTTAGTTTAGGTAGTTTGAATTGTTCTTCAATTGGTTTTATTAAATTTGTATCTTTATTATTTTAAGTATTAGTTCCATTTTTTATTTCTTATGACTTGTTTGATCTGTCTATAGCAACATATAAAAGAAGTAAACTTGTCTAACTGGTTGAATTTTTTATTTGTATTTATTTTTTATTTTTATTTTTTAGAATGCACTGATAGTTTAACGTCAGGCTTCCGAAATGAATTAAACCAGACCATCCAACATAATTATTTTTTTAATTAATTATTTTTATTTTAATTAATGGAAATATAGTTTTCATTTATATAAAAGCTTCAGTTAATAATAATAATAACCTTGCTGTTTGTTGCTTTTCAGTTCTGCTATACACAAAGTCAATTCATTTTTCTTTGTCCGCATGTGTACTCAGCATTGATGATTTTGATTACAGGGCCCCTGAAGGTGCGCCGTTAAAAAGCAAGATGATTTATGCTAGCTCGAAAGATGCCATTAAGAAGAAGTTTACAGGTGAGTACAGTCATATTCACTAATAATACCCATAATGCGTCTTTATAAGACAGATAGTATCTGGATGCTGGGTCCTGAGTGATAATTGTTCAATACATTGCTATGACACCAAATAACTAATATATAACCAGTATGTGTGTATATATATATATATATATATATATATAATATAAAATACTCTAAAATATAAAAAATATTATAGTTAATATATATATTAAAGATAGGTTGACTATTTACTGTTATATGTATTATATATTAAAGGTAATGGTTAATCTATATGGGTAATGTAACT